GTATTCAACGTAGGGACGAAGGTATGTGTTGATCAGCAGTGGTATTGGCTGTCATTGAAAGCTGTGAAGAGCTCGTCCTAAAAGCCTCAACTTCAAGTTCCCCACATTCGCAACTTTCGAGCATTGGGGAGAATTGCCAAGACTTTCTTGCATGATGAGACCCAAATCTCGTACCATAGTCACCTATTGTAAAATCAGTTGTCCCAGAAATACGTGTTGATGAAGCTGCTACCCATCGTCAGCTGGTGGCACTTTGCAAGGTCCAGTGGAAGCTGGTTCCTTTCAACCAATTAGTTAATCCTCTCCAGGTCTTTTTTAGATAGACACGATTGGATGCTGAGCGAAATGCTCTCCAAATTTTAGCATCAATGGTTCAGTGGTTCAATGTTGTGTGATGAGATAAAAAGCATAACTTTACGAGACCCACAGGATGGATATACAAAAGAAAATTAAAAGCAAAATGTTCCAACGTGGAACGTCAAGTATCAGTGGTTAAACCATTGCACTTTAGCAAAGTGTTGTGTATCGTTTATCACTAAGATTAAAATCTAAGAGTCTTTCGAATGTCGTCATGTCTGGTGCCTTCACCACATAGTTTGGTAATGCATTCCAGTGAGAACAGATTCTAAGTGAGAAAAAATACTTTCTACAATTCAAACGAGAGTGTTGCGTCATTAGTTTTAGGTGGTTCCCTCGGTTTTGTTCGTATGGGGCTAGAGTCAACAGTGATGTACATGGATGCGCGCTTTCGGTTAGTATCCGGTATGTGAGAGTAAGATCTCTGCGAAGCCGTCGGTATTCTAATGAGAACACACCGAGTACACGAAGACGCATTTCGTAACTTATGCCGGATAGTCCACGCGTTGCCTTTGTAGCTCTCATTTGGGGCTGTTCCAAGAGGCGGGTGTCTCGTTTTAACTATGGACACCAGGCCGGAATTGCATATTCAACGTGAGGACGAATGTAAGAGTTAATCAACAATGGTACTAGCCGCCGCTCCAAAGTGCCGAGAGCTCGCCTCAAAAGTCTCAAGTTCAAGTTCGCCACAGTTCCAACCAGGTGAGAAGGGAACCAATGACAGCATACGCAGGATGCTTTTGGAGAAGAAGGAATAATTGGTTTAGAAAAACCTAAGTGTACCACGTCTATGGGGACTCCTTCATCATCAGCCCTGGTCCATGAATCCCCCGCAAGGAGCAGATTGGTGAGACTCCATCGTCTGCGTCTGAAAACATGTTGTACATTGGGAATTATTTGCCATTTTTCAAATAGTGTGTCAGTTACTCTGCGATTACGGATTCGATCACTTTTGAGAAAACAGGTAGGAGAGTAATAAGTCGGTAGTTTACAGAACCCGATCGCTTACGTCCCTTTTATATCGGGAGATGAGTCCATCTTTCCACTCAGATGCGAGCGCATTGGTATAAAACGGACTATTGAAAAACGCTACGAAAGGTACGGCAATGTTGGGAATAAGCGTTTTAATTACCTTTGGGTAGATCTTGTGGATTCCCGAGCCACCGTTTTCCCAGAGAGACTGTACTTTTGTTTGTAACATCCTCTGGGGTAAAGGTGACGCTGGTTAAGCCGACGAGCTTCTTTAGGAGTTGATGGAGCAAAGGTTCCATGGTATTTGTAGCCAATAAGCCAAACTGCTGAAGCAGAGAGTTCGTCGTACCCAAAGCAGTAGTGATTAATCCACTGGCTGTATTGTGTGATGGTATTCCAGGTTTAACCATTCTGTTATCGTTCACGTACCTGTAGAGCCGTTTCTTGTACTGTGGTTTCCTGCTACTTATACTTGCCTGCCCCAATAACTGATGTACAGTACCTTTCAAGTTTCGTTAACGCTGCCACGTGTTATCACATAAGCTTAGCTCATGCTGCTTCCAAATCCCATCTCTTCTTTTAATCTATTTACGTATTCTGCTTTGAAGCCAACTGTTGATCCTGCGTGATACTCGTACTGGTACAACTTTTGTGGCTGCTTGTATGACCTCGTTAACTTTAGCTTTCAATTAATTCCATACGCAGTTCGCCAAAGTGTGAGTCTCTAGGCCCCTTTTAACGGTGATCGCTAGGTTGTGAAACTTGAAACAGTCTGGAACAGTTCTCTGGGTTTCGCATTCTTTATCAAACATACTGCCATAGCACACATAACCAAAGGCTAGGACTGAATGTTCACTACTGCCTCGTGGAAGGTTGTGTGCGACTGACCCAACCATCAACTCTTCATTTGTCAGTATTATGTCCAGTATTGATGGTTTGTTTGAACCGCAGTGTCTGGTTGGTCTATGCACATGGTTATAAAAACTGCAATGTCCATGACTTCAAAGGGTTTAAGTTAAATTTTGGTCCAGTAGTGCCAACTGGGACAATTGAAGACAGGTGTTAGTCGTCCACTATAAAGTAATGGGAATATTTTTGAAACTTCATGATGGACTGCGTTTGAGAATCACATTCTGCGGAGGAATTAACTGGCCCTTAGACAACTGCTAGGAGGCAAGAATCCCTCGTCTTTTTGGGTTATACAAAATATCAACCTGCTACCTGTAGCTGGAACATAATTCGTTAAGAATAACAAGGGAATCCACCGTAATAGCTCACATTTAAGGTAAACTTGAGAATAAATGGTAACACCGCCCCCGCGAGATGGACCATCATTTCCAATGACTGACATCTCACTGTATTTACCCTCTAGATCTACTAAGACGTTCGACAGCTAACTTCCAGTCACTGCGACGACGTCCCCAGTTGATGTTTCATGTATACGGCACACTTCTGGCAGTTTATAGTGGAGGCCTTGAGCGTTGGTGTAGCCGCATCGTGGTTTTATACGAATTCAAAGCTCGGTTCGCTGTGAGTGAGCGGCACAACTAGTGCCGGTCTGCTTCCACATTTTTAAACGTGTTTTTGTTGTTGACTGCACTGAGGCCGGAACAATCGAGATAGGTTCATCAGTAACGGGAGTCTGTATTACTTTGAGGGATGGTCTTCAGCGTACCTCTGGAGACCTAATATGTTATTGGGACGTAACGAATACACAAAAGGCTACACGAAGGAAATGGATGCCAAGAATGATTTCGACCATATCAACGTTACAAGCATGTGAGGTCACTTGCAATACGATGCAACAACGATAAGTCAAGCTCAGCAACTCCACTGTAATAAACAAGTTACACATCAATGTCCGACTTCGCAAGGGGATAGAAAGGTAAAGCAGTAACTAGTATCGGTTATACAACTAGTGGTACCAGATACAGCAAGCGTGAGCTTGTTCCCATCAAGCTGAAACAGCACCAACTTGTGGATGGCGGAAGACCAACGTACTGAGACAAATTCTTAATGCTCATTTTAACTGGATGGTCGTGAACACGCAATTGGTTTGTCGATCTGGTCACAGCTTCAGGTTTGAGCTTCGCAGCACATACTGTATGGATTGGGCGAAAAATAGGCACAAGTGATTAGTAGTGGGATTCACAGTGAGGGGAATCTTAAGCAGGACGAAGGTAGTAGTTGATAGGGTATTCGTAATGTTTCTACAACATCGACATCTAGGTTTTGCCTTTAATTACTTAGCAACACTTTTGATCTCATCACCGGTAGATGTCTGGAAAATGGTCTGTTTAATGACATCTTTAAGTGTCACTGCAGATTTTAGTTTGGTACCTGTGAGTCAGTCCCCTACTCGGTAACGGACTTTGCACCAAGCGTACCATACACCTAAAAGTCCTTTGTGATAAGTGAGCATTCCGACGAGTTGAAAGCCGAGACTTCAGAAAGAAGCTTGGTTGTCTCTTGAATTCGTTATAGCAAATGATGTAATTGATTCTATATTACCCGATGTAACTGCGGCATATCAAGAGCCTTTTATCCAGTGCCCATGAAGCAGTCATGAAAAGTAACGTATAAACAACCGTAAATGTTGCACTTATTTTCGCAAGCTATTACGCCGTGCATAAATAACAAAATGGGATTAACTAGCAAATCAGAGTAGCGTTTGACTTCCATAGTCTCCAAAATTCCCTTTTTTGTCCTCCCGCCGAGCATGATAACAGCTCCCAAGTTTTACTGACTCAATGTTGCCAATTGTTGCTGTGTGACCTCGTAAACCTTACTATTTCAGCTGGCATACCTCTTGAACCAAAGCAGTATATAGACATACGTTGGTTTTGACGGATCAGATTTGTCAGTACAGTTTCGTGGTCCACAACATTATTGATGTCACTTTCCCGTCGACCATACAAGCACGGCTAGTCAACCCAATAATTTAAAGTTAAAATTGCCAAAATGTAACGTAGGAGCGCTCTTGTATTAAGCACTGTTATAAGATTACCTAAAATAAATGCACATCCATGTTGCAGGCATGGGAAACATTAAGAGTTGAGAATTCTGCTCTGTGTACTGGCAACTCCGAAGCCCTTCGATGACCCATTTTAGACAGCCCGACTGCATAATCTTCTTTATTCACCTTTCGTAAAGTAACTTGCTGTAGTTTTATCGTTCGTCAACAAGCCAATTACGCTTGACCGCTAAATCTTCGAAACAGTTAAACTGGTAAGATCCAATACTAATTTCAGCAATATATCCGTCTTGGTCTGCCAACTTACGATCTGACCCAAATTCGATGGAATATCACACTGTTATTTCCCCATGCTACCAGAGGCGGTAGATTAGTGCGTCACTTTAGGAAGTTTTTGAAACTGCCTTAAACTAATGGTTACGAATTGACAGTGGGATCACAATAAGTTCACATTTATTCGACGAATAATTGGCTTCAGTCTCAGACTTAATTCAGACAGAAAGGTGCACCATCTAGTTATCCATCGTTGCATTCAACCGTTAGCAGTACATAATTGTGTTTCGTTAAGTTCCTGATTGGAATAACCAGCTGGTTTAACCCCACTAAGGAATTACGGCATTTGTTAGTTGGATGGCTTACAGTTCCTACCGTCTGTCGGCTGACATACTTAAAACTACTTTTGTTATTATCATTTTAGAGCATGTGGAAATCCTGTTAGAAAATGTGGTGGACGGACAAGACTTCAACTTCAAGAAGATGGACCCTGGCGAAGTGAACTCACTGGGCGAGCCTTACGACTATAGTTCTATTATGCATTATGCAAAGGGTACCTTCGCCAAGGCTAACAAGGATGAAACAATACGACCAAGAGCCTGCTGTCCAAGACCACCAATCGGACAACGCATCCAGCTTAGTCCTGGTGATGTTAGACAAACAAACAAACTGTATTCCTGTCCAAGTGAGTCAAATATAAATTAGGAAATCTAGCGTTACAGTGTGTATATACTTCATCGGATAATAACTGATCATTCATTAGTATGCAGGCAAAAATTTTATTTTTCCGAAATCCGAAACTTCTTCTTTTCAGATAAACATCTTCAGCTAAAAATTTGTGGCGCATAGTCCAACTGTGTATAAAGGTTAACCGGCGTAGCTGTCTTCAAATAACTTCAGCAGAAGTAAGGCAGAAATTGGGAGAAACACATTTCCGGAAAGCCGTATCCCTTAATATACTACTGCGAATGCTGGGTTGTTGGCTACTGTGCCCTGTCCGCAGTCAAGTGGACGGCATTGGAAACTGATTGTGATTTTTAACCTTCTTACCTTCCCCCTTGTTTAATGTCTCCGTATTACACGGTATGAAACTGTCCGTCTCAAGTGGTTGATTGGCAAACAACAGAGTAAAAGTTTTAACATTTTCACACCAGTTCAACCGTCCCAAAGACGTCGTGACATTAAAGAATGTCTAACAACGTAAACGAAAGGAACATTTTCTAAGTCAAACTAAATGTCATGCTTTTGTTTGCTTGGATGTAATAGTTGCATATGATCCGGATTTTAGCTTGCTTCGCGAAACACCAGCTGACCACACTGAGCTGGGTTGCCGAATAGAGAATTTCGAACAACCAATTAGATTCACCTGCCAGGTAAAGGTTAGCTCTGACGGTCGTCAATTACTACTGATTGAAGCAAATTAGAAAGCTGCAGAGAACTAATTCCTTTGTTTTACTATGATAAAAGTAATTGCTGCAAACTCTTCCCTCTGGTGAACCTATAACCATCAAAACCTCTTATCACATAGCAAACTGCGAGCTAGTATGCTTTTTCCTCAGTGCAAACCGCTGCTCATTGATAGACACTGAAACTCTCCAGTTCAGACATTTCCGAGTCTTTGGAATGGCTGAGATTTAATTCAACATGAAAGGTGGCCTAAGTTGAAAATGTGTTGCAATCCAGAAACCCTACGGGTACTCTAACACCCAACAGTGAACATTAGCAAGTCGTTTTAGTTTCTAGGGAGCAGTATGGAATGTTGAATGGTATTAGTAGAATTCCGTCACATGTAGAACCAGTCCGCCAGCACACAGCCGGAAAAGCAGTGTACAGTTGTCTCATCATTTTGGGCATAGTAGGCAGGGCGCATTCCCTCTGGCACATGTAGGCAAGAACCGACAAGGTGACCGTTAACTCTCCGAGCTGAAAACCACCGAGCTAGGGGAGGGGGATGATAATGACCAACGTGACTTTTATTAGCCTTGTACGGGCCTGATGGAATTAGTACAGCCAACGATTCAGGAAAGGACCAACTACCTATACTGTGTTTTTCAGGGAGTGTGATAGAAGTCTGGCCTAGCCTAGAGTTAATGAATTGCTATTTCTAACGTTCAAATCACCTTACTACTCCCCCACTAATTTGTAATCAACAGGCAGGCCAAAATGCCCATAATGCCCTAAATTAATTTGCGGCTTATTTTTGTATGTTTGTTACTTGCTAAAGGGGTTACCCAGCCCTCTGCAAGGTAGTAACGTGCAAGTCGGTGCATAGTGAGCGGCTTCATATCATGCCAAGTAGCTTAGTGACGTCGTTCGTTACCGTCTCGCTTAGATCAGTGGTCTTCACCACTGACTGGTAACCGTCGGCTTGCGGGTTCTTGGCCCACAGTGGCCCGATGGAATGCACACTGCTGACGATTCCCAAATACATGGAATAGCTGTACACTGCATTTCCGGGTATATAATGGATGTCTGCAACCCCCTGCCATCCCCACCCTCTTTGTGGCCGGTTGGCTGCATCGTTGGTTAGTCAACAAATCGATGGCGGGTCATAACGCAGCCACACGGTCTGCATTCCAACGCACACAAATAACCAAGACTACCAACTGCGACAGTGTGCCAAACGTACAGAGGATTGATAGCAGCATCCGACGCATGTGAAATCGATTAGTTTCTGCATAGCATTCACCACACCACAAAAAGTGATTGATAAAATGAGGTCACAGTAACACAGAGATTTGGAGCGTACTCGAAATAGTAATACTATTACCAGCAAATGCCCTGAAATTCATTTAAAATTTTCTCGTCGATTTGAGGGCAATTTTGAAGCGCTTGTTTTGTGAATGGATTACAACGCGCCGTCCCAATGTAGATCACGATTACCATTGAAGTGAACCATAGTCAATTCGATCACTAGGATTGTAATTGATGAAGCAGTTGAACATTGCACTGCACTGCAGTGTTTTCAAGCGGGCAACGCCCTATATTCATATTCTCATCGCATGCTACTCCATTAAACCCTCTAAGTTGTTCGCGCTTCTGAAAACTATCGAATGAGTGCAGTTATATACTAATTCGCTGAGTACATTCTGAGAAGATATTTCTGTCACCTCCCACCTGCGTCGTAGCCAAACTGTCTTGTTCAGAAAAGACTTGCAACTTTTCAGTCAGTGTTGTCCAAATTATTCGCAATAGTGCTACCAGCCAATACCGTTTCACAACCGTAAGACGCATGATTGGTAACAATAATTACCCGTGATTCCAATCGTTTATTGACCAAATGTTCATTCTCGCTTCGGCCGACTTGTGCTTCAACATTCCATTCTCTTTTGATTCCCATCTCTTGTCAAAAGTATCATTAATTAATTGCCTCCTCCTCTTAATTTTCAACGTTACCATGTATACTTTCTTAAGTTGCGTAACCGGTCCAGTGGGGACAATGGTACAGAGTTCGCGGGCAGTAATTTGTTGGTCAGGGTGCGATGAGACTTTTGGTTTAGTTTCGTTGAAACTTCCAGTCGCGCAGTCAAGTCCAACAATCTAGTTCAACACTGCATTGTAAAAGATGCACTTACGAGGTTGTCCAATTTGCTCAATCCAATATAAGCATGCTCTTGAATCTTGGACGGTGACATTAATTGGCAGTTGAGATGGGTTTGCAACTGATGTGCTTAGCACTACTATACCTACAAGCTAGCGATAAAGAATCAGCTAAGGCCACAGATATACTTGTAAAGGTTTTAGGGAATGAGGGATTTGATTTGTGTGGGACATTGCGTCCTAGGAGGTCACACGAAGAAATAAATAACCGAACGCATATTCTCGACATTCACAAGTTATGTATTAGTCTCTGGTTATTAAGTCATTGACACAGAATGCAGGTTGCTGGATTTAACTGTTGTGGCTTCGGGCCGCGAACACAAATTCTTGTTGGTTGCAAGCACGTCTTGGAGTCCAACCAATTAGGCAAACCTGAGCTCTTAAATTCGTAGTAGTAGACACCCACTGGGCATCATAGATATGCATCTAGCTGCACCGGTCATTCTCAAACTACCTGCATTCTGTTGCATCCTCTTGATTCGCGGTCTTTTACTATGTATAATCTGTTGTGAGATGACAAAATGCAGGAACTGTACGCGTTGAATTTTATCTCTTTCTCATCCCTTGGGTGTTGACTTCATGCTACTGTCAAAACCAGCATGGAATCGGAAGTAAGCTTCATACTCTTACAGTAGCACCGACCAGACGGTACAGTAAGCATGTGCTTAACTGATTCTCTTACCAGCAATGTTCCAATTAAGGGAGGGAATATTTTTGCTTATCAATATGAGCCAAACTTTGGTCGACTTGCACAGAAAGCTGTAAATCTATTGTATTTTGTCGCTTGCTCTAATACCTAATCGAAAAGCCATGATTTGCTTTAGCCATTTCCACTGATAAGTGGCATGACAGATGGAACCTCTAAAATTCTTTTCATCTGCCTGGGACATTGTCCTCAATATCTGAACAATAGCTTTTTAATAAATTCCTGCTACACCCAGGCAAAAATTGGAGCTACTACTTAAGGCACCCTACCAAACAAACAAAACCTATCTACCCACAATCTGGTTGCCCCATTGCGGTACGGAAACCAGGTGACGTAGTTGCCGCAGTGCGAGCATATGTGGCTGCATAAATCACGTGACTGTCTTACACGCAAGCTCCAATGATCTGGATGACTCATTGCTCGTCCCTGTGCCCGCTCCTCTTCCGGCCAATAAACAGGTGATTAGTTCACGGCCTTAGTAAAGCTTGTAACGCACAGCACGCAAAATGACGGCATAGCCACCGTACGCGGCGAATTTCAGCTGCGGTCTCGGCCACTTCCGTTCCGAATACATCGTGTAGGTGTGTCGGCGCATATCGGGTCAAGGCTGCGTCGAACCATACAATGGATGCCTTTGTACGACAGACAAGCTCATGTCCAGTGATGAGTAAGTAGTGCAAATGTTGTCTGAGGCATATTTTAGGTTCGCCGCATCATTTCAATGTGGAGAGAAAACTAACTAAGCGGCCTTATACTTCGCTGTAGACTAAAACAACAAATTAGACTAAAATTCGCTTATACATGTCATTACGTCTTGCCTCTACATTGGCTTAATGCGGTGGTTCATCATAATCGTAGATCTAGATAAGAATACCAAAGAAGTAGGTTGTGGGATGACACCGTCATTTTGCGCATACTCTTCAGCCAAACAGGCAATTAACAAAGGATTTAAGATAAGGTATAATGAAATCCGTAGGTCAGCTGTTTGTTGATTAGTGCGTTACACAGTATCACGGTAGGCTTGGTATCACTGTAGGTGTATTAAATCCGGTGGGATAGGATAAAGCTCCGGACAATAAATGCGGCTTATAAAAGAATTCCACAGGAAGCTAAACAAGCGTGTCAGATGCACCAACTCCTGTGAGCGGACAAGGATTACGACGAAGTTACAGCGACAAGCAGAACACGAGAACGAAGCAGCCGGACGGAAAGTCGTGTTGTATTCATTCAACAACACGATAGCAGCTAAATCAACCGGTAGCAGCGTACCTAAACAACCCGCCCCATTAAAGATAGAAAAACATAGTAATGATCAAACCATCTGGTTCATCGTGCATTCATTCAACGACAACTAACAAACAGGAACAAAACAGAGACTA